GAAATATAAATGATTTACCTTTTTAAGATACCAATTTATTTGGTGTTATTATTAAATGCATGTAGTATAGTATATTTTTAAGAAAAAAAATTTAGAAAAAAACTCTGTAAGATCGTAAACTTTAAAGGCGTTATTTTTTATTATTGAATTTTTGTTATCCATTATTGAAATTTTATTAATAATTAAATCAGTACTATCTGAGTATCAGGTTAGGAGTCTATGAATAATGTTGAAAAAAAAAATTAATAATGGGATCAATTTTAGCAATTGTATTAGTTAAGATCAGGCACTTAAATTTTCCAATACATTGTGAATTGTAAAAAAGACCTTGTAAAATTTTAGATATTTCATGAATACTTATTGCTGTATTTGAATTAGTCTGGTAAGGTAGTCTGTGATACAAAAAAATTACTGTGGAAAATATAATTATGCATAAAGCTCTCAACAGTTCAGTTCAGTTTGGTTTAGCAATGAAACTGAAACTGAACTGAAATCTCCAGTTTAGTTTCAGTTTGAAACTGAGAACTGAACACTCAAACTAAAACCAAACTGGTTTAAACCAAACTGAACCAGTTTTTTTCAGTTTAAATATAATCACCACTGGTGAGTAATACTCTTAAATTTTTTATATTTTAGTATTATCATTATATTTTATTCATTATAATTCAGTTAAGATTATATATTTATTAATGAAAATAGATACAAAATTAATTAAAATTAATTTTAAAATTATAAAATAAATTTTTGTAAGTTATATAATAAACTATTAAAAATTAATTTTAAAAGCATATACATGTAATGATTACAATAGTATCTATTTTCTTCTTTATCTTAAAGTAAAAAACTGATAGATAGAAACTTATTTTTTATCATTGCTATTATCACTATTATTATCAATTACTGTTAAATTGCTACTGTTTGCTTCTGTTAAATTACTATTACTGGTTTCTTTTAATATATTTGAGACTTATAGTTCATTATTTTCTATGTTTTCTTGAGAATTTTCTGATTCAGCATTACTTATAATCTCGGCCATTATAATTATATAAAAAATAATCCAGTTAAAAAATCTAGATATTTATAAAAATAGTTAGTGAAACTATAATGATTAAAATTAATATATAAACCAAAATTTTCAGTTTTGGTTTCAGTTTTCAGTTCAGTTTCAATGAATAAACTGAGACTGAACCGAATTCAAACCGAAATATTTAGTTTGTACATTTAACAAACTGAAACCAAACTGAACCAAACTAGTGATTCAGTTTTAGTTTGAACCAAACTGATTGAGAGATTTAATCATGCATAATAAAAATCTGTCAATCAACAAAAACATAAGTTTTTATTTTATATTATAATTTTTAGTGTGTTTTTTATTAAGGTACAAAGAATATATTATTAGAACCCTTCCTCTTGAATGCCATGATTACAAATTGGGATTTCAAGATTACCAGCAATTACAATAAATATAAAATGGAAACTTTGAACATTTAATTTTTTCATATATATTTTAAATGTTTTAAAGTGATTTTTGATGTTTTGAAGTAAAAGATAATTTTTTTACTAATAATTTAATATTTATTTTTGTCTTGAATTAATTGATAAAAATTTATTAGTAAAGTTATAATTAAAAAAATTAAATTCAGGGAAAAATAGAGAGAGAGAGTTAAAAAATAAAAAGTAACTATTTAAGCTTAGATAAATCACGTGATCATTAAATATTTTATTTTGATCGGCTAATTCACTGACCAGACTATTTCGAAAATAGCGATAAAATACAATAATGAGATAAAAATTTACCTTTCAATGTACAACAGCTTCAATATTTCAGTTTATTTTAATATACTTTATCAGTTCAATATCAATTTAATTCGATGATTGCAAGAAAAGTATCAATAATTTTGTCCGTGCTTGACATGATTCATTAAAATGAAAAGATACATTTTTTTTCATATTTAATTTTATGAAGGCAAATATTATTTCATTATATAATTATTTTTTGCGAAATTAAAGAATAGCAAATGATTCTGATTCTTTGCTCACTTAATTGAATGTTCCTGCAGTCCTCACATAATTATAACACTTGTGGGAAAATGAAAACCAATGTTATAGTATTTAGATTATTTTTTTTAATAATGAATTATAAATTTATTGAAAATTGCTACAATTAAATAATATGAAAATAATTAAATGTTAATAAAAAAAAAAATTGAAATTTTTTAATATAAATGTTGATTGCCTCCGAATGCCTCAAAGTTATCTATTTTTGAGCTTTTCGTTTAATTATACGAACAATAAATAATATAATGAAGATACAAAAAGCCAAAAACGCTACACCTATTCCTGCCCCGAGTCCAATTGCCAAAGATTTTGATGACTTTTCTGCAGGTGGAGAAGTAATAATAGGTTTATTAGTACTCGAAGTAGTTGTAGAGGTTGTGGTCAGTTTATTATCAGGTGGGCTAAAAGTTGTAACCCACTTATTACTTTTAATATTATAAAGATACACTTGAGAAGTATCAATTTTGCATCCATGTCATATCCTGAAAAAAATATAAAATATCATTAATGTAATAGAAATGTTACCGAAAATATTAGTATCTACTTACCAAGTGTAATTATCATATAATCATTATATAAATTTGCAGTATGTCCATAAATAGATGGTGGAGAATTTACTTTTGAATTAGATGGAATGGTCCATTCGAAAGGATATTTGTTCGTGTCTAACACAGCAAGATTTGGACTGACACTAGAATAGCTTTTTGTAATACCCCCAAATATAATAATACGTCCATCTGGTGCTATAGAAAAATATTTATTTTAATATAGATTTTTTTATTTTTCGGAAATAATAAATAATTTGGATACTTACTTAACACAGAAGAAAAATGCCATCTTGGGTCAATTTCATCACCAGTGGCATTCTTAGAATTAAATGTGACAATGGGTTAATTATTACATATTACATTTATTTTATAAATTAACATCAAATATATACCATCTGTGACCATTCATATGTTTTTGTATTAAAGATTTTAATCTGGGAATAGTAAGGAATTATGTATTATGTATTAATAATTATGAAAATAATTTAAATATAAATTTGTTAATTAATATTCAAATTGCTTACTTTGTTCATATTTACAAGAGTCGAATTCGCATTAATACCAACTTGTTCGACTCCGCCAATATAAACAATAATTCCATTTGGCAAAATATTAGCGGAATATTCATAACATTAAGTAGGAATATCTCCAGATATGTTTAAAGTTGTCCAAGTATTTGAAACAGTATTTATTATATTCATATCATTGTAAAGATCTCCTGCAAAGCTTGTAAAATTAGTGGTATTAAATCCCCCCCAAATATATAAATTATTCCCAAATTATCAATTACTCCTTTTATATACTGCCTAGGAGGAACTACATCACCACTAAGTTCTGGTATAGACCATGTAGAAGTAGAATAATCATATGTATAGATGAGATTTGAGAATCATATTTATGCGTATTTTTATTTCTCATGATTCCCCCAATTAGATAAATTGTAGAATTATCCAAACTTAAAACAGCTGGTGAACGAGATGTATATACGGGAAGACTTCCTTCAGGAATTAACGTCCACGTTAAGTTGCTATTATCAAAAAACTTTGACAAATCCAAATAAAAAAATTCAAATGTGTGATTGGTTGTATTTAATCTTCCGCTAAATATTAGGAGTCTATCGTCAATTATTAAACTATTATGGAATCTTCTTTTAGTTGGTTCAAAGCATAAAATTGAATTAATTAATAATAAAATGCAAAAAATAATTTAAATGGGAGATACATTTTTAATACAGAATTTATATGTTTGGTATAATTTTTTATATAAAAAATGGTGTAAAAACAATTTCGACTTTTTTTTAAAAATGAGTAAAATGAGCGGAGTTCTTGACTTTCTGTCCGTTTAGTGTCACATGAATTTCGTAGAAAGACTTCAGTTAAAGCGGTGCGGTAACCTTTCAAATTTTATTAATATAATAATACGAAATGATTTTAGAGACTTTGAATCTGCTCAGATAAAAAAAAAATGAAAACGCTAGTAATCATTTCTATAAAATATTCTTCAGACTTGAATACATATTCGATTTATTATAATAAATCACACGCATTGATTGTACAAGGAAGCCACGCATGTCAAAAAAAATTTTTGTATAAAGTTGTGCCCACTTGATAAATACAATTTCTTTTTTTGTAAAGAAAATAGTTTTCATGTTTTGGTGAATTTTTGGAAAAAATTAATCAAGCCTAAAAGTTATTAGATATATTTTGTGACATGATCAATTTGTTCGTATTATGTATTTTTTTTTAAAGTGAAATTTTTTTAAGTGCATCATTTTAATTCTCATTTTATACTTTATTTATAGATCTTCGATGTTCTCTACAATAAGAATAATTTTAATTCAGAAGAATTACAATCCATCACTTATAAATTTTGCTTCTTTTTTCGAGGTAATGTTTAATAAAATTCTAACTTTTTATATGCATTTTGAAATATAATCCAAATGAGTCAAGTCAAAATATCCTCAATATATGAACATAACAATTTCCCATGGTAAACTCTTTCTTTTTTTTTTTTTTTGTTTTAGCTATACCAATTTAAATGATTACATACTAAATAAAAGTTATAGTCAAATAATAAATATTAGCTCACTTATTATGTCAAGTACAATAACTTTATACATTTCTTTATTTAAATTTATCAAAATTAATGTTGTTATGTTGTTAGAAATATAACATTTTTGAGATAAAATAAATCGTAGTGAACCAATTAATTTAACCTATTAGTTAATCCTAATTAGTATGACATGTAAATCAATTTCATTTAATTGACGATTCGCCAGTGAATGGGAATCACGTGATTATAATCAATAATAAAATCTGGGGATAAGTACTATAATAAAAATTCATTAGTTTAAAATATTCATTTCCGAGCAATCACAATTTTTACAATTTCTCCATGTCTAATAAAAACTATAAAACACGACTTATATCTATCGGAAATATAGTAAAAACATTTCATTATGGACATTTTGCATCGAACTGGTGGACTTTAATTAAAAATAAAAACATTTGGATTCCCTGGCGCGTTAATTGTCGTATTTGTGTAAATTTAAATGAAAAAGAGTTTGTATTGCGTATAATTGCACATGATAACAATAGTATCGAACCTGGATTTATATCTGAGACAGAACCAAATCCTCAAATACATTCCAATATTTCCGCTGCAATTAATACTACTTATAAAAAACTTTTTAAAACTGAAACAAGATATTCTGGGTTGGATATTTTTAATTTGGAGGAAATGAAATTAGAGAACAATTATTGTTCGAAGTTTTATTTCAACCATTGCAAATAAAGCTAGATAATATAACTATTTTTATTGCCCATATTGGAGTCTCGAATGATGAAACTCTTTATTTTGCCGGATCTGGATATATCTCGAGTTTTAATCATAAAGTTCGTGGAGATCAGTATTTAATAGTACAAACTATTAATGAGCATAATATTAGTATTCATGTATATCGACGTGGAATCCAAAGAGAAGAACATTTTGACATATCACCTAAAGAAGTATGGAAAAAAATGACTATATGTCAAGAAAAGAATCCAATGGCATTATTTGGTTTGACAAATTTGAGTGTACAATCTGCAATAAAACAACAGATGGAAACTCCTCTATGTAACTTTAAACAATGGATGAATTTGGATATTATGACACCAATATTTCAAAAATATCTCAAAAGACAAATAGGAATGTCAAATTTTCCGTGGCATAATTTTTTTAGTAAGTGGTTAAATCAAAAAAGCAAAATTATTGAACTTACAATGGCCTTAGCAGACATATATCCAATTGATTATAAGTTGGGAGACCGTGAGTTTCGTGCTTGGAAGCAAGTAATAAAGATTGTAGGATGTACCAATATAACCCCCTTTTCAAAAAATATATCTCAGGTATATTTTTTATAATTTTATAATTTTTTATTATATTTATAATTATAACTAATTTAATAAATTTTTTAGTTGGAATTTTGGACATATTCAATTGACATTCGGTAGATAAGGAAACTATCTCAAATTTATATCAAAATAATCTGTTAAATATTACTACTTGTAATAATAAGAATCAAAAAATAAATAATCAAGAAATAAATAATGATAACGAAACAAAATTTTGGCAAAGTTTTTCACGATCTATTAAAAAAAATAAATGAGGATTAGATGGAAAACAGCGAATATTATCTATTATTTCTGAAGAATTTGGACCTACAATATTACATAAAAAATTACAGGTGTTATTTTTCTTGAAACTATTTAATAAAAATATATATTGTATTTATTAATTAGAATTTATTATAGGTTTCAAATAATCTTATTACAGCAGCAAAAAATTTTGCACGAATAAATGGTCCTGGGTGTTTTCCAATTACCAAACCAATTGTTACACATTCATGTGTATCAAAAATTCAAGATCAACAATTTGAGGCCTTTTTTTCTGACAAAAATAATGTTTCGATGAGCTCTTATATAGTAGATAAAAAAATGGGCTTGCCATTACTTTATCTCAAAGATAATAAACAAACTTTATGGGAAAAATTTGAAGCCACATATCCAGATAGTATTAAAAGAACTTCTGTTATGGGACGTCTAGCTAGTGGGAGATATGTATATAAACAAGATTTAGGAGGATTATGTAGTATTTGCAATGATTATGGTTATGAAGTTTTTGATTTATTAATTGAATTAATAGAAACAAATATAATTCAAAAAGAACAAAAGGTTAATTAATTTTACAATTATAAATGTAATATTTGTATTCAAATAATAATAATTTTATATTATTTTTACTATTTAGCAAACTTTAATTCATAAAATTGAAACTCTTTGTTATCATATGAGAAGAGAATATGAAAAAGAACTTTTAATAAATCTTGATGGAACAACAGATCATGTAAGCTGTATCAATCACTGTCTTTTATATGCTTTTGGAAAATGCATATTATCACATTCAAAGCGTTGTAAAAAATGTGATCAATTATTTGATTTTTTTTAATACAATAAAAAACATTTTACCTTCTGAGAATTATACAATATTAGAAGAAAGTCAAGAAAAATTAGTTTATTTTCTTGCACATCAGGCACGTAAAACCTATCTCAATACCCAATTTAATGTACAATTATTAGAATTAGATAGTAAAGGTGCATTAATACTTGTTGATTACAAAATGAAAATTCTACCAAAATCAGCTCGCGAAAAAAAAGGAACAATTTTTTGGAAAGAGAGGATGGACACTCCATACAATAATAGTTTTTACCAAAAAAGATACAATTGTAGAAGCTCAAGCATTTGATCATTGGTCATTAGATACAAAACAAGATGCCTGGTTTACAGCTTCTTCATTTGATGCAGTATTCGAGACACTTAAAATTAAACCTGAATGGATAAAAATATTTTCTGATAATGGTGGTCATTATCATTGTTCAGAAATGATGGCAATAGTTCGAAATTGGTATCAATGGTATAGTATAGATATATTTTTTTGAACCCGGGGAAGCAAAATCTTTAGTTGATTCCCATCATGCTGCAGTAAGATGAATTTTATTCTATTCTTTTTTATTATAAAAAATTCTGATGAACTAATTATTTATTTTCTTCTTAATTCAAAATAATTTAACTAAACAGATATCACATGCGATCAAAAGATATATACGAGTAGGACATACTCTTGACTCTGGAGAAAAAATTCAACTGCTCTTGAAAATCTACAAGGAACTTCTATTGCAAATATTGAACCTTGCCAAGATCATGTAACTGTTAAAACAATAAACAATGTATCAAATTTGTTTCATTGGGAATGGCCTATAGATGGAGAATATACAGGATTTATTATGGGACAATCTCTGCCAAATATTGGAGATTGGGAATATTTTTCACCTTCGGACATCACAAAATTAATAGAAAAACCAATTTATAAGCCAAAACCAAGTGTTGCACCACATACAAAACCTAAACAATCTTAGACAATACCACTACCACAAGATTGAGGTAAAAATTTTTTTATTTGTCTAATAAATTTCAAATAATACTTGTAATTCATTTTTTATTTATAGTGGATTCAAGATATAATCTTCAAAATAATGATGAATTTGAAGAAGGTATATGTATAATTAATTTTAATGTGTCTATTTACATAAGTACTAATTAATTATTCTAACTCTAATTATTTTTATATTATTTCATCCAGAAATTATATTCAATTTTCCGCTTCCAAGTGGTTGGGCATTAAAAAGTAATCAACGGTTGGGTAAACGTGGATCAGGAAAAAGAATGACGGAAAAAGTCAAATCCTATCTCTATGCATTTTTTTTGGCTGGCGATGAAAATAAAACTGAAAGAATGTCAGCTAATGAAATGGTACAAGAATTAAATGAATTGGCAAAAGAAGGCGAAATACAAACTGTTGACATTCCACAAGTAAAAACAGTTGAAAACTGGATTTCACGAACCTCTGCTACATTAAGAAAACAAGCAGCTGCTGACCGAAGACAAGTTGAAAATAATAATGGTGAAACAAGCCAAGCTGGAGCACACCGTGGACAAAAGAAAATTAATAATAAAGAAAACCAGGAATCTGAATCAAAAACAAAACGTCAGAAAAGAATAAAATAATTATAAAACTTGTTTTAGGATCTATTTTTAATGTAAATAAAGAAAATAAGGAGTTTAATAAATAAAATTTTTACATTCAGAGTAAAATTGTAATTAAATTATAAGTTTTACATCTCAAAATCTACGTTTCCGATGTATAAAGTAATGTTAAAAACGTTCAAAGATAGTTTTTTTTTATTTGAGACAAATCTTGAATGTATAACGTTGATTTTAATATTTTCATTGGCCAACAAAAATAATATTTTTGGGCATTTATATAAAGGGCAATCTTTGCAATTTTTAATTGTCATATGATCTACTATCCCCACGGTGGTACTAAGTATTGATTCTCATTTATTCACGGATCGCCAATTAAATAACAAAACAACAAGAGTTGTTTATAAAGTAGTAAAGTCTTCATCAGACTGGTCTTGCCATTTCCCAGGTAAAGTAGGATTCCCATTTAATTTACTTAATTTCACTTAATTTCGTGAAGAGAAGTGAATTCTGCAGATTCAAAAAACAATACTTTGATATTTTGCAATAGTATCATTAAAAAATTTTCTAATTTTTAAACTTGGTACGTTTAAAAATTGAATGGAAAATTAAAGTAAAATGAATTTTAACCAAGAAGCTTTGGACATTTTTAGTTCTTCGTTAAATCAAATAATAAGAAATGAAAGAAATGATGAAATAAAATTGTATTTCATTGAGTACACAATGTAACCTTTAATATTTATTTTATCAAACTATTTTCTTGGATTATAAGTTCCATAGGTACGAATATAAATCAAGAGCAGGACAAAAACAATAATTATATAACATAAATAAAAAAAAAAAATACTTATAAATGCACACTCACCCTCTATAAGTGAATTCCCTCTTTAAATGCTCCCTATGCTCCAGTCTATAAATGCATTCCCTCTATAAATGCACGTTAATTCTGATCCCCAGGAGGGTGGATTTATAGAGAGTTGACTGTACTGAGAATAATAAAGCAAAATGCATTATTAATTTAACAATCATTTATCAATGTAAAAGTACTTAATTGTTGTCACTGAAATATAAGCGAGAATCTTTTTTATCTTTTTAAAGATACCTATAATAAAATAAAGAAATATTATATTATAAATTTATTTATATGAATTCTCATGCAATAATAAAAAAAAATGATGGTTGTTCAAAAAAACAATATCAGCTAATACAACTAACGTTTTTCTTCATTTATTAATTAATTTTTCAATATCACTTTTGAAATATTAAAGATTTATTAATCAAAATTTCAGTACCTAGGTGGAATATAATTCAATTAATAACAATGACACACCAGATCCAAATAATTGAAATTGTTTTTTTGAAAATGAATTCGCTCTTGTAATAAGGAATTAATTTCATAGGATACATAAAAAATTAAAAAAATGTTCAGTTAGTTTTATTTCATTTATTTATTAAACTATCACGTCTTTGTATAATTTGATTTTTTCTTCGTATTTATTGGTTCATGTTATATTTTTATTTCAAAATATTTCGGTGATTGCATTTTTATTTTAATTCTTTTGGTATAAATTTCACAGTAAGACTTTTTATCATGATATACGTCTATATTTCACTATACTTCAATATTCTTTTTTATATCCGCCAGCAAAAGCTCAGTTTTAAAGCCACAATTTCTCACAATTCTTGTCTTTATTTAATAATTGGAGTTTCAATAGTATAAAATAAATAAATTAAAAGAAATAAATAGATTAAAAAGTTAAAAATAAAAAAGCACACCTCGAATGTCTTCTTTTTTTAAATGATACAGGGCTTGATAAATCCAAATAAAATGTATGAAAAAAGAACAAAAATATTTTTAATAATTTCAATGATCTTATTACTTATCTACTTTTTGCAGCACTGTACTCTGGAATTATATTAAAACTTTGACAAAAAAATGTGGATAATGAAACTTATATAATTTAATTTTTTTCAAAGAAAAAAAAAAGTCAAAATTTTTTACACCATTTTTTTTTCAAAAATTTATATTTTATGTATTTTACATTTAAATTATTTAAATAATGATTATCATTTTTAAAATCTTTCACCCGTTGCCTTCGAAATTGGCTTCGACTTTGTCTAAGAAGCGTTTCGCAGAGATACAAATAAACCTGATAATAACAACTTAATATGGACTTTAATTCCTGAAGGAAGTCTTACTGTATATACACTTCATTCAACTGCTATTTTACGTTTGGATAATTCTTTCCACAATTTTATCTATATGTGGGAAGAAATAAAATTACAATAATGTACACATAAATTATGATTACTCAAATCAAGTCTATACGCATAATTATCCTCTACATGCTCTACACCAGAACTTGGTGATGATATAGTCCTCCTATAAAGGAGTAATTGATAGTTCGGGAAAAATAAATATATTTGGTGGATATAATGCCACTAATCTAACAAGCTATAAAGGAAAAGATTTCAATGATATGAAAATATTGAATACCGTTTCGAATACTTGGACAATTTTAAGCATATGTATGTGATGGATATACCTTTAATATTTTACCAAATGGAATAATTGTTTATATTGGTGGGACAGAAGAATTCAGTGATTATGCGAATTTCACTCTTGAATTAAGTATTATTTAACAAATTGTTTTTAAATTGTTTCATAAATATTTTTTATATAATATATAATTCTTTATCATTTTCAAATAGATTAAGCTCTTTGATACCCATAAACTTAAACGGTCACAGATAGTGTATATATATATATATTTGATATTAATTTATAAAATAAATGTAATATATAATAAACTATTGTCGCAGTTAATTCTAATTATGCCATTGGTAATAAAATTTACTCAAGACAATTTTTTACTTCTGTGTTAAATAAATATCCAAATTATTTAAATTAATTACTATTTCAATGCATCAAAAATTTATATTAAAATAAATGTTTTCAATAGCAAAAGATGGATATATTATTATATTTGGGATTATTCATATTGTTCTGATTATTATGTGGATGGAACTAGTGTTAGTCCTAAACTTGCTATGTTCAACACAAACAAAAATCCTTTCGAATGGTCCATTTTATCTAAATTCTCCACCATATATTTGGGACATACTGCAAATTATATAATGATTATATGACATTTGGTATGAAAATTTTAAGTATTTCTACCTTTAATTCCATTATAATTCTCTGTCTTCAAAAAAGTCATCAAAGCTTTGGTTATTGGAGACAGGAGTAGGTGCAGCGGTTTGATTTCTTGTTGCAACTTTTGTTTTTTGTAGTTAGAACAAGAAGAACAGATCAATCGAGGAAACGCTCCCAATGTCCAGATATCATTGAAATACCTGGAAGCCATCAAAATGAAATATATATTATATTATTCTATGTATTGTATTAACTTCTAATAAATCATTCAACTTAACTTTATTGTTATCCAATAAAAGGCAAATCTTCTTATTCACAACAACTTTATCAAATAATTACAAGTGAACTTTCGAGAATGACCGGAATAAAAGAAATCAAAATTTCTTAGACCACAATCTTAATTTTAATAATTTTCTTATAATACAAATAATTTAATTTAATAAAAAATTTAAAATTGTAAACAAAAAAATAAATAGATAACCGGTTCAAACTCATCTTGACTTAATTCTTCAGTTCAGTTCATTGTAAATTAAGCTCTAGATGCGTTTTTATAGGACAAAATCTTTTTTTTTGCTATAAAAAATATATATTTTTTTAAATAAATTATAAAATATTATATTAACTTTATTATTTATATCTAAATATATAACTTAAGATCCTTCTTTTCATCTTCTAATTTTATCCTGCTAATTTGTTTCTTCGATGTTGATTTTTCAGTACCAATCAATCATACGACTAACTTATAAACAATATGCTTTAGCTCTTCAATATTTTTTATAAAAACTTTCGTCATGATTTCAGGTTCTAATTTTTATATCACATAAAGTTCAATTTATAAAGTTTAACTTTATATTATTTTATGCCATTTTTTTGGATTCACTCACGATTTGCGAAGCTTAAAAGACGATTCTCGATATTAAAGAAAATAAAATAGGAATAATTAATAATGTAAAAATAAATTAATTATTAAAAACAATTTTTCTTTTTAAGCTTAGTACTATTTTTTGAAAAATAAAAAAAATAACAAACGACTTTAGTTAAATATTCATGTATTCTTCATACGATAAGAAAATGACAACTAATATTGCAGTATTTAGATTTATTTTTTAATGATTATAAATTTATTAATAAAATAACATAATATGAAAATAATTCAAAAAAATTAAATTTTTTTAATATTATTCTCAATTGCTTCCAGATATTTTAAGAATACCTGAAGGTTGCTTGCTTTGAGATTTTCGTTTAATCCTACGAACAATCTTTAATATAATGAAAATACAAGAAACCAAAAACGCTGCACCTATTCCTATCCCAAGTCCAATTATCAAAGATTTTGATGACTTTTTTTCAGGTGGAGAAGTTATAATAGGTGGATTATAAGTTGAAATCCACTTATTACTTGTTATATTATAAAGATAAACTTGAGAAGTATACGATAGTGTATCAATGTCATATCCTGAAAAAAATATGAAACGTCATTAATATAATTGAAAAATGTTACTAAAAATATTAAATCTTCATACCAAATGTAATTATCATATAATCATTATATAAATTTGCAGCATGTCCATAAGTAGGTGGTGGAGAATTTACTTTTGAAGTAGGTGGAATAGACCATTCGAAAGGAGATTTGTTCGTATCTAACGTAGCAAGTTTAGGATAAATACTAACATATCTAACAGCACCGTAAAAATATGAACAACCCCCAAATATAATAATATTTCCATCCGGTGCTATTAAAAACATTTATTTTAATATAAATTTTGATGTTTTGTAAATGGAAATAATTTGGATACTTACTTAACACAGAAGAAAAATATATTCTTGACTCAATTTCATCATTACTAATTACATTCTTAGAATTAAATGCGACATTAGTTCATTAAATATTATTTGTTTTATATTGCATAAATTAATATCAAATATATACCGCATGTGACCATTGATTTTCATTAGTATCAAAGAGTTTAATCTTTTGAGAATAAGAAAAAAATTAATATATTTGTTAATATTTATTTATGAAAATAATTTAAAATAATTTGTTAATTAATATTCAGATTGCTTACGCTGTTCATATTTACAAGAGTGTAATTCGCACCATCCTTAATTCGTTCTACTCCACCAATATAAACAATTGTTCCATTTGGCAAAATATTAGCCGTATAGTGAGAACACGGTAAAGGAATTTCAGATAAATTTAAAATTTCCCAAGTTTCCCAAGATTTTGAAAAATTATGTGTATGCAATATATACATATCATGGGAAATATTTTTTGATGAACTTGTATAACTTAATCCACCAAATATATATATATTTCCCGAATCATCAATTACCCCTTTTGCATCCGATATAGGAATTGGAATCTTTTCAACTGCTTGAGACCATTCAGAAGTAGGATAATCATATTTGTAGACGAGATTTGAGGAAGTATTTGTATTATTTATGTATCCTCCAATGAGATAAACTGTAGAATTATCCAAACCCAAAACAACAGTTGAACCCATATATATACAGGAAGACCAGTATCATTAATTAACGTCCATGGTAACTTGTAACTGTCAAATGGCTTTGACAAATCCAAATAGAATAAGTCAAATTCGGTTACATTTGTTGTATCTGCATATCCACCAAGTATTAAGAGTTTATCGCCGATTATTAAACTATTATGTAAGTGTCTGCTAGGTGGGTTATGATAGCATAAAATTGAATTAATTAATAATAAAGTGCAAAAAATAAATTTAAATAATTTAAATGAGAGATACATTTTTAATAATGTATTATTTTAAAAAAAAATGGGCGTAAAAAAATTTCGACTTTAATTTATTTCAGTATTTAAGATAAATTCATAGAAATCATTTCCATAAAAAGGGGTTCAATAATATGATTATTCTAAATTAATTAATATTAGAATGACGACCAGGTTAGGGCTAGGGTTAAGTAGATATAATATGCAAAATTGCCTTCCTGACATTTTTTATTAATACATCAAGATATGTTTAGACATTTGTTCCTTGTACTTTTCGTGTTTTTTCACTTTATTCTTCGTCGGGCTGATCGTATTGATTTGCCATAGTCAACGGAAAATCTCTTGATTTATATGACCCCTTAAATAGCAATTGTTTGGTGATCTACAAGGAATTTTTTTTCTTTTAAACTAGTGGTCACGAGCTTTGCTTATTTCCAATTTCGT